GCCCCGAGAAGGTCTGGGAGAAGTGGACAGGCTGCGTGCAGCCTGTCCGTTGCTCTTTGGGGCTGGGGGGGGGATAATATTTTTCCCCTTGATTTCCCCCTCTAAAAACTAGGTGCGTCCTGTGGTCCGGTGCGTCCAATAGAGCGAAAAATACGGTAATTGCTCAGGAGAGAACTTTCAGTAATTTCAGCCGGTCTTTTCCCTGGCTAATGACTATAGGCAGGACTGTCCTAAATATCTGTAATCAGGATTAATGAGTAAACTCTATTATGGATTATGTGGTCCTAAGACTGACATTTATATAAAACCATATTCTTCTTTCTGGGAACAGTATGCCATTTTTGGCAGTATAGGGATAAATCTGGAAAAACTACTGTAATTAGTTCAGATTTCTTTTTAAATCTGGCTCCTATGCTAATTGTTCAAGGGAAAGAGAATTGATACAGATTCACCAGGAGTTAGTAAAATTGGTAACAATTATTCCAGTGTATCTATTGTTTTGCTACCAGATGCAAGATTCACAAAGCCCTGCTCAACTTGGAGCCAAAAGTACCTTGAAGACCACCAGATTTCTTATACTCTTCTCTGATCACAGAAGCCTTCAGATGGGGCACATTTTGTGCCCCCGCCCCTTAGATTTAACAGGCCTTTACCAGGGACCAAGACATCTGTGTGGGCAGACCCTGCTCTGTGGAACTCCTTGCCCCATGATCTTTGTTTGACAGGAGTCACCCCTGGTTTCTTTCAAACGTCTTTTAAAAACTGTTCAATCAGGTCTTCAGAATCTTTTTTTTTTTAACCAACTAATTTTTAATGATAAGTTCTTTTCGCTTTCGCTATTTTGGCATATTGTGTTTTTAATCTTACACCTTGCCTTGTTATAATTTCTACAGGAGTGTGGCTTATAAATATTTAAATAAATATATGTATGTGACTAAGTAAAACATACAGTGATACCTCGGGTTACATACACTTCAGGTTACATACGCTTCAGGTTACAGACTCCACTAACCCAGAAATATTACCTCGGGTTAAGAACTTTGCTTCAGGATGAATACACAGGATGAAACGGTGAAATCAGCCATGATTAAATGGGCACAAGACATTGGTCATGACATTATGTTTGCCGACTGGGAACAGTTATGGACCACCGGTGTTAAGTTTACGGCATGTAATGCCTTAAGAGAAAACATAATGAAAATGATTTACAGGTGGTACATGACCCCAGTCAAGCTGGCAAAAATTTATCATCTGCCCGATAACAAATGTTGGAAGTGTAAAGAGACTGAAGGTACCTTCTATCACCTTTGGTGGACATGCCCGAAGATTAAGGCCTTCTGGGAAATGATCTATAATGAAATCCAAAAAAGGTACTCAAATGTACCTTCTCGAAAAAAACCAGAGGCCTTTCTCTTGGGCATTGTCGGCCAATTGGTGACAAAGAGGGATAGAACTTTCTTTATGTATGCTACAACAGCAGCAAGAATACTCATCGCAAAGTATTGGAAGACCCAAGATCTACCCACTTTGGAAGAATGGCAGATGAAAGTGATGGACTATATGACATTGGCCGAGATGACAGGCAGAATCCGTGACCAACGAAAAGAGACGGTGGAAGAAGAATGGAGAAAATTTAAAAGTTATCTTAAGGACTACTATAAACTTAATGAATGCTAAAATGTTGCGGTTTTCAGAAACAAAGGGATACAGGGATATAAGGTTAGAAATTTAAAAAAAGGACTAAGAAGATAGAGATTGGAAAATAACAATTGGGAGTTGCTAGTTGAACTTTGGACACTGGGATGCAGAGAGGGGGGGTATGGGGAAGTCAAAGGAAAGAAGTTTATGAAAATATGTTTGAACTATACGTGTATGTTTGTCATTTTTGGTGTTTGTTTGTTTTTTGTTTAAAAAGTTTCTAAAACCAATAAAAATTTTATAAAAAAAAAAAAGAACTTTGCTTCAGGATGAGAACAGAAATTGTGCTCCGGCGGCGCAGCAGCAGCAGGAGGTCCCATAAGCTAAAGTGGTGCTTCAGGTTAAGAACAGTTACAGGTTAAGAACGGACCTTCGGAACAAATTAAGTACTTAACCTGAGGTACCACTGTACTGTAAAGGAGGACCCGTTTGAAATCAATGGACTTAAGACTGCATTCAAATAGCATTTCATCCAGTTTTCATGATGATCCCTTGCCTAATCATTTCCACATTTTATGTTATCTTTCTCCACATGTAAAAAAGCCACTTCTGGAACACTAGTGGAATATTTAGCATAAGTTTAAGTCCTCGTTTCCGTATTGCTTCAAATAGTTGCACAAGCTGGCTATAATTAATTGTTATTCATGGTTGCTTGAGAACATAATCTTCAAACTTGTGGTTGCAGGCCCTGCTGAAGCTGGATTGCCAAGGATTACTTGCACGTATCACGCAAGACACAGTCATTTTTACATCTGCTGTGAAGCTTGGGAAAGGCTGGAGAGAGCTGGCAGAAAAATTAGCACGACTCACAAAGCAACAAATCGAAGCTTATGAAACTCCCCACCGGGGCACAAATGGAGATGTCCCTCCAGAGGTGAAACTTCTCTCACTTTCTTTCACTGTGCTCTTTTGCCACCAGAGCTTTTTAGGCTGAATACAGACCATTGTTTTTATAACTGACATAAAATGGCATTGCTTGCCATGGGATGTATGTGTACACATTCCTTTTGTCCCACCATTGCTTCTAGTCAAACAGGTTGCATAGGTTTTCTGAGCACAATTCAAAGTGTGGGTGCTGACCTTTAAAGCCCTAAATGGCTTCGGCCCAGTATAATCAAAGGAGCGTCTCCACCCACATTGTTCAGCTCGGATACTGAGGTCCATCTCCAAGGACCTTCTAGTGGTTCCCTCACTGCGAGAAGTGAAGTTACAGGGAACCAGGCAGAGGGCCTTCTTGGTAGTGGTGCCCGCTCTGTGGAAAGCCCTCCCATCAGATGTCAAGGAGATAAGTAACCATACAACCTTTAGAAGACATCTAAAGGCAGCCATGCTCAGGGAAGTTTCTAATGTTTGATGTTTTAGCGTGTTTTTAATATTATGTGGGAGCCACCCAGGGTGGCTGGGGAAACCCAGCTGGATGGGCAGGGTATAAATAATAAATTATTATTACTATTATTATTCTTAAATGATATAATACCCATCAAACATGGTGAAAACAGAATTGGTCAATACACTCTTGAAACTGTCTCTCTTCAGTCCTAAACATCATTCTCTCTCTCTCTCTCTCTCTCTCTCTCTCTCTCTCTCTCTCTCTCTCTCGGTCTTACTGTTATGTGTCCAAACTTTCAACTCTAATAATTCTTGTCTGTGTTATAATAGCATGACACAAAATTGCTCAAAGCCATTTCTCAAAGGCCCACCCAAAGAGACGAGGCTCATCAAGTTGATGGAGACAAAATATTGAATTAAAGATTTAAATGGCTTCTCTAGAGAATTTAAATGGAGACATCCTGAGGGTGTAAGTCTATAAAGATTCATTTTGCAGTCCTGTGCATATTTTATTTAGGATAAGGTACACAGCTCTGCTGAGTTCTGAGTAAACGTGTTTTGGATTGTTCCGCATCTGTCAATGAAGCTATATAAAAATTTCCATTAACATTGGCCTTTATTGGCAGATGATTTTGGCTTGGTATCCCAAACAAATATGAAAATGTGTAGATATTGTTGGAGGACAATGACAGCTAAACTAGCAAGGCACATGACCGTAGAGTGGTACCTCGGGTTACAGGTGCTTCAGGTTACAGACTCCACTAACCAGAAATAGTACCTCGGGTTAAGAACTTTGCTTCAGGATGAGAACAGAAATTGCGTGGCGGCGGCACGGCAGCAGCAGCAGCAGCAGGAGGCCCCATTAGCTAAAGTGGTACCTCAGGTTAAGAACAGTTTCAGGTTAAAGAATGAACCTGCAGAACGAATTAAGTTCTCAACCCTAGGCACACTGTATAATGCAGTGAATAATCCAAACAGGAAGCAATGCAAAACTTTGAGCATTTCAGTATACTTTGGCTTTCAAATTTTTGTCCGTATGTACTAGTTCCCATAATAGAAAAGAGGTCAGAATATTATTCACCCCATTTTTTGAATCTATTTCTTTTGGCCTGTGCAGTCATACCTCGGGTTAAATTTGCTTCAAGTTGAGCGCGTTCGAGTTGCGCTCCGTGGCAACCTGGAAGTAACGGAGTGCGTTACTCCGGGTTTCGCCTCTTGCGCACGCGCAGACGCTCAAAATGATTGTAACGCGCATGCGCAGAAGCTGCGAAAAGCGGCGTGTGCGTGCGCAGACGTACCATCGCTAGATATGTTTACCTCTGGATGCAAACGGGGCTCCGGAACAGATCCCGTTCGTATCTAGAGGTACCACTGTATTTAATTTTGATTGTTGTCCACCTTGGCTTGTTCTTGAGTTACCAGATTTTTCATGTAGTTCTCTGATATGTGACTTGGACTTGCACTTAAATAAGACAAGATAAGAAATCCTATAGCCAAAGATAATCTAGGTGAAATCTTGCATAAAGTACTGTTTTGTCAAAAAGGGGAGAAAAGGGTACTTGATTTTGCAGTGGTCCTATCCTCCTCTCTCTTTTTCTTATGCTTATGTTTTTATTTGGAATCATTCATCATGAGCAGCCTTAGAAATCTCATATCAGCTGCCACAGGGATATTAAGCTGTCAAGTTAGAAGTTAAATGAAATATTCACAACAACCAAATAGCTGCCTCTTTGTCTGTCAGCATGCAGCGTGCAGGAATTTGATAACTCTGTGCGCAGTGTTTTCATTTTTCCTGTGTTTATTTATAGCTTGGTCTTTCCCAAAGGAGGGTCAGGTTCTGTAATAGCACTTCTTTCCTTACTCAATTCTTACAGCAGCCTTGTGTGGCAGATCCCACTTTGCAGATGAGATACTCACTCTGACGTTTTTTAATTTTTGTATTAGTTTCACCTGTAGGCTGCTTTCCCACATAAATGTGCCCAAAGCAGCTCGCAGTGCTGCAAAAAAATAAAAAAATGCATATTATTACAATAATAGTTTAATTTGCATTGATTTCAAAACATACATAGTATGATAATCCAGCACACAGTGCTTTAAAAGAGTCTCATCCTCCATGAATACTGTCTTCTAGCTCCACTGATGGAGCCTTATAGCCCTGAATACCAGTTGCAGGGAATCACAAGTGAACAGAGTGCTGTTTCTCTTGGGTCTTCCTTAAAGGCTTCCCAGAGGCATAGCCACTGTGAGAATGAGATGCTGGACTAGATAGAATGTTGGCCTGATCTAGCAACACTATTCATTTGTTCCTAGATAATTCATTTTCATATTACTATTAATGAATGAATTAAATTTGTATACTCACCCCCCCCTTCATCTGTAGAACTCAGGGCAGTTCACAACATAAATCTGCTTCACAGCAGATGATGATTCCACCCAGCTGGGGCTTCTTCTGCAGCCAATCAGGGCTGGGTGGAGTGTCCACCAATCAGGAGGGAGTGGACAGTTAAATGGTCCAGTTGAGCTTAGCTTGGTCATGGCTGGAGATTAGCTGGGCATTGGAGCGGTTTGCTAGGCACGGCAGCCCCAATTATTTCCCTGAGGGCAAGGATAAAATTCTAAAATGGGCCTGAAAGTGTTTTCTTGGTTTAGGTAGGAGAACAAAAAGCCATTCTGGGAGGAATCAGCTTAATTAGAAACTGGTTTAAAGTCCAATTTTAAATAAAGTTCTTAATTACTTCTGTAAAAGGTTTTTGGCTTATCATCTTAACCATCAAGCTTAAACCCTCATCATGTGTGTTTAAATTAAATTCCAGTTTTGTTTCCAACATGGCTCATCCTTACTTTGATCCTCTGGGTGAGGGAGAAGTGGTCACAAGTTTTCCTTTCACATTATTAAGCGTCCTTGCTCCTGGATATTAGCAGTTGCTACCACATACAGAGAATCTCAAACCTCAACAGGTTGTTTTAAAGCACCCCAAACTCTGTCACGTTCCCTATCTTTATTGAGGAAGTTTACCACAACCATGCCTTCCAAAACTCCAATGTCTTTACGGTTCCTGCTTGCTGGTTACACCTGGAGTAGCCAAACTGGTTCCCTCCTGTTGCTGTTGGACTCCATCTCCCATCATCCCCAGCTAGCAGGTATCATGGTTAGTGGTGATGGGACCTGTAGTCCACCTGAGGGCACAGTGCTGGCTACTACTGTGCTGCACAGCAGTACATAACACTGGCCAGGTTTGAGGCATAGCTGGGCAAATTTCCCTTCTGCCTTGGTAAGCCCCATAAGCTTAGCAGGCAGCACTGGGACAGCAGGAGTTTCTTTTGGACATGTTTCTCATGCAAGCAAATCTGATCTTGAGCATCGTTCATGTAGTAAGCAGAAAAATACAAATTCAGGTTCTTCATTCAGGTTTTCCAAACATCGCTAGCTGTGATCACTAGCTCACAAGCATTCTGAGACTTTAAAAATAGCACTTGCTTATTCAGTCAATCTATATGAGCAGACACTCCTATTACATGACTTCTTGCCATTCTGCATCTCCTAATTGCTGTTAAGTAAAACAGTGGTAAGAATGAATTGCACTCCACCCTGTCTCAGATTCTTGACTTTCACGGGCCAGGCTGAGTTTGCAGAACTGACATCTAGGAAGTCCCCTTTGTCTCTCTTTAATTTGCAAATCGAGCTTAATTGAGAACATTTGATCCCAAAGCTGCAGGTTCAAGGTTATTTTCACAGTATCTATCTGCATTTTGAGAGCTTGACAGTAAGACTGGCATTCTGGCTTCTTTACTGTCAGTGCTAAACTTGCTCTCCATCTGCGGTTTTCAGATTTACTTTAAGGTGGTATGTTTTTAAAATAGAAGTTTCTGATGGAGCATCATTTTAAAAAATGACTTCCATAATTATCCATTGTTTTCTGCTGTTCTGATTTGCCAGTGTTTATGTTTGAAATTTTTAAACATAAATGACCCCCTCCAAGAATAATACAACTTTCTGTTTGCCTTTTTGCTATCTTCTGTACTGATTTTGTTTTGTTTTTTACTTTGCTGTTGCATCTTCCAGTAGACACCTACAAAATGGGAATAAAATTAATTTCCACTAGGAATTCCTAAAAGTTTTGTCTGTGCAAGGCTGCCGTGACCCAGTGCTCATTATGAATAGCTGCTAATTCCTAAAATTGTTCTTCCCTATTATCAAAGATAATTTCTGGGTTGCCAGAGCTTGTGATGTCCTATGTTTTTAGTGTTGCTAAAAAGTAGTTGCAGGCCCCCTCAACTGGTTCCTGTACTTTACGTGAGATACATGTTGAGAAGTTTAAAGTACTCCTTTGCATGAGTCAGAATGTTGATCTTTTTAGCCCAGTAATATCACCGCCTCCCAAGTTCTTCCTTGATGAGATCTTATCTAGAGATACTTGTGGGTGAACTTGGGACCTTATTATCGCTCTCCTTTCCAGTTCAGCTTCTTTTAAATTTTCCACAAGGAGTGATGACCTACTTTGGGAAACTGCACTAGAATTTGAGCTGCTCGAGTAAAATGTTAAGATTCATTGATCAATGACCATATTTAGAGTTTAGAAAATTAGCTGCTCAGCGATCCAGGTCCAACTCAGGGGGATTTCATGATCAATTCCATTTCATTAATTTCATTATTGAGTACAATTTAATTTAAAGCATTTTTATCCCTTTTTTTCCATTAAAATGTTCAAGACAGCTTACAAAAGTTAAAAAAATAGCAGAACAGTTAACGAGACCTGCAAAAAAACTCACACCAGATCAAATATACTGTATTTTTTGCTCTATAAGACTCACCCCCCCCTAAAAAGTAAGGGGAAATGTGTGTGCATCTTATGGAGCAAATGCAGGCTGCGCATCTATCCCAGAAGCCAGAACAGCAAGAGGGATTGCTGCTTTCACTGCGCAGCAATCCCTCTTGCTGTTCTGGCTTCTGAGATTCAGAATATTTTTTTCCTTGTTTTCCTCCTCCAAAAACTAGGTGTGTCTTGTGGTCTGGTGCATCTTATAGAGCGAAAAATACAGTAAATGCTTTACACAGCATTCAAAATTTGTCTGGTGCCAGACATATTCTGCACCTGGCTATCAGCAACTTGCGACCAAGTGAAGATGCCTGGGCGCCTGATTTCTCCACCACCTGGAGGCGCATGCCTGGGGATCCTTGGATCTTGACTGTTTTCACACACCAACAGCAAAGCCTGTAGACTTCCATCCATGATATTTCATCTGCATGATCTGAACAAATTTCAGGAACCAGAAAGTTGTATTGCAAAATACAACTTTCGAGCTCTCCAGCCTCCAAATGGCAACTAGGAATTCTGTTTTGGTGATTGTAACCTTGGTTTAAGGAGCCATTTGGTGCCTAGCTTATATATCTGAATTTATAACACTGCCTTTACATTAATCAACTTAAAATATAATGGCAAGCAGCTTAAATTATAAAAGAGGAGCCTAAAAAACAAACCATCAGACCACAAATTTAATAACTTCATAATATATGACGTTCACACAAAAAGTTTTTCAAGACAGAAGCAAGGATAAAATAGCCTCCTAACCATAAAGCTCCTAATCTGAGGCAAAAGGCTACCAGAGAGAGGAAGAAACTAATTTTGTGATGTGTAAAAGCAAAATGATAATGAGAGAGTAGAGAATGCGAACTAGGTTCATCAGCAGAATCTTTTGGAGGGGATCTCAACTTAGAACAGAAATCCAACCAACCATAAATGTTATCTCCAGATATTCAGCTGCTTTCTGAATGCCCCTCAGACCCAAACGGTCCTTATAAAAAGAGGAAGAAAGAATTGTCTTGGGGCTGATGATTTCATTAGGGATTTAATGACTGGTAAAAATGAATCCATTAATTCCTTTCAACATGCTAGGGGGGGTGGAGATACTTTTTTTTAAAAAAAAGTTACCTACTTAATGATATGAGGACATGTTTGTTTAGAGTTGACTGTATGTTTAGAGTTATAGTAATACAGTGGTACCTCAGGTTACATACGCTTCAGGTTACATATGCTTCAGGTTACAGACTCCGCTAACCCAGAAATAGTGCTTCAGGTTAAGAACTTTGCTTCAGGATGAGAACAGAAAATGTGCTCCGGTAGCATGGCAGCAGCAGGAGGCTCCATTAGCTAAAGTGGTTCTTCAGGTTAAGAACAGTTTCAGGTTAAGAACGGACCTCCGGGATGAATTAAGTACTTAACCAGAGGTACCACTGTATGATAATAAGTATGGGGTATGAATGAGAATATTTAACAGGGGTATGGCTAAGTTATTACTGTTTAAAGCTGGTGACTTTAATGTTATTGTTCCTGCCTATGGATTTTAAAGGGTTATGTATTTTACCATGAATCTGTATTCCAAAATATAGTAAGCCACTTTGCTTTTTGTGGAATGCCCTGGGCGCCTCCATGATATATTTTTAAGTGCCAGGCAACAAGATGTAAATGATAATAATTGATCCCCGGTATGTTTTCAACTTCAGATGATGTGGAAACCGGCGTATGATTTCCTGTACACCTGGGGAGCTCACTATGGAGACAGTTACAGAGATATGTTGCAAGACCTGCAGTCTGCACTGGACAAAATGAAGAATCCTGTGACCAAACAGTGGCGAGAATTAACCGGAGCTCTGATTCTAGTCAACTGCATGGAGGTTCTCCAGGCAAGTGCTTTCTCTAAGATGGATGAAGACTAGAAGTCATCAAATTTAGAAAGGCGCCGTGGAAATTATCTTCCTGAAACACAAAGCAGTTAAATGAGAGCATTTGCATCAAGAACCGTTTAGCTCCTCTGCCTGTGAAAATTATGCCTATTGCTTCTGGCTTTTATGGGCTTAAGCTTTTTTAAATGAAAAGATCAAGTCATTTATTTTTCAAGCAGGACCAGTTTTCCCTTGCTTTCCTTCATACCCGTGTCCCTACAACAACATGTCTCGAAAGGTGTTTGTGTACAGCAGTCGGTATTTGAACAGCCTTGCAGTGGGCTGCATGTTTTTTGGGGAAGTTTAGCACGGGAGGAATTTGAGCTGGGCAGCATAGTTACACTACTTATTCAGAGCGTTTTACCTAGAAATTGCTCCATATACCTGCTATTGTCATTCCTGAGAGAACCAGTTAGGGAAACTTTGTGCACTCCTGTGAATACATGGTTGCTCTGAGGTAATTGGGAAAGCTGTTTCATCACATGTAGAAGGTAAATATATCCTCAATTACTTTACTACAGTAGCACCTCGGCTTACGTTACCCTTGAGTAATGTAAACTTCGAGTTGCGAAAGTGGCAAACCCGGAAGTGTTTTGCCACACGTGCATGCGCAGAAGTGCTCTACCGCACCGTGTGCATGCGCAGAAGCAGTCTGCCGCCACTCGCACAGATGTGCAGAAGCAGTTCCTCTGGTTATGGAAACCTCGGGATCAAACAAGAGCTCTGGAACGGACCCCATCCGCAACCAGAGATACTACTGTACTCATTGGGTGTTTGGATTCCAGTGGAAAAGGACTGTCTGAAGGCCTCTCTGCCAGGTATCTGTATCATTGACCCATGTTTCTTCATGAAAAAGTGGTCTGTCCCCTTTGTGGATGTCTTGTGGTATTCATTTCCCCCAGCGCACCAGCCTTATCTCTCATCCCCAGGTAATGGGAGCCCCACCTCCATCTTGCTGTGACCTTGCCTTCTTATTTGGCTCTAAAGCAGATCCAGAATTGACATTCTGTGACAGTGGTGACATATTCTTAGGGTCAGTTCTCTGCTCAGTTCTCCACTCCTCAGGGCAAATGAAATGTACGGTCAGCGCATGATTCTTATGGAAACTGCCCACTGCCACAAAGCAATCTGCTCTGCTGCTGTCATAGTTTCCGAACTTGTATCCATAACATGGTGGTTCCAACATCCACTTCTGACTATCAGGCTCTGCTTGATACTCTTTACATCATGATGACAAATGAAACTGTTTTTAATGATTTTTTTAAAAAAAGTTGTCTGCATCCACCCAGGTACGTCCAAAGATAGATATTATTTTTCCACCATTGCATGTGTCAAAAGTTTAATGTACAGATACAATTTATTCACATTTTTTTGTACCTGCTGTGTTTTATTTGTGTGGGCTCTTAAGTTGGGCAGTCCTAGCTTACAAGGGTCAATGGCAGCTGTTGAATCTCTGACTGCCCTGTTAGCCACCACCTCTTCTGTTTTTTGTTTTTTTAATTCAAGAGGTACACAGCAGGGCATTAGGGACCACATGTATTTGCCATTATTCTTGGTTTGTGTGTTCTTTGCTAAAAAACCTGTTCCACTTTTTGTTTCACTGTACTAAGAGTATTTTTTTTTGGGGGGGGTATGCATTGAGAACATGTGTGGATAAGAAGGCCACAGGCAGTCATTAGTTTCTCACTACCTGTGGATGTCTATAAAAAGAGACTTGAGAAAAATAAATAGGCTCTAAACCTCAGTGCCATTTCTGCCTTGACAATCTTACCACAATCTCAGCAAAAATCTTAGTAGTGTGAATTAATGTTGCAAGAAATGTGGCAGTTAATCACACCTAATAGTTCTAATATGTCACACCCAAAACTGCAAAGACAGAAAATTTAAGAGTTCATTTTGTTTAGCGGGGGGCTCTCTGCATAGGCCCTGTTCAGACATAGCAATCTCAGACCATTACACCATGGTTTATCAGCCAATGAAAAGCCTGTGCCTGTGTGGTTGCTCTTTGAATCTCCCCTCCCCTCATGGTCCTGGCTTTGTAGCTTAAGATCACAGCTTCTTTGAACCACAGTTTCCTATTACATCTGATCTTGGAATTGCTGATTTAATCTCTGCTTGTCGTGTTTATTAAATCACAGTTTCCTGGTGGCAGATGTATCTGGAAACCATGGTTTCAATCAGCCAAGCATGAAGGGAAGGATAGGGAGGGAGTGTACAGGTTAATGGCTCATTCTCAGACTGGTGAGCCATGGTTTGTGGGACCAAGATTGCTAGTTGAAGCTTGCCCATAGAAGTCAACAATTCAGCCACTAAGACTGTTACTCTAGGGCAAGGTTATAGGATATGATTATATGCTCAGTTACTGAAACCCAGTGTCTTGAGTTCATGAAGTTCCCTGAATCTAGGGAGCTGGATTCCATGACAGTAAAACAGATGTAGCTTTGTATTGGGCATTGTGTGTGGACTCCCTCACACATGAACAGATTCCTTTGTGGAGGGCTCCACCTCCATTTAGGATGCAGGCATAAGCAGCCAGCATAGGAACATGGTACTCTGTGAAGTGGCTGCAAGGGATACTCTTATATGATATTATAAATGGTCCTGACAATGCCTGGGGAGTTACCATCATTCTTAAAGGGACTGGGTTTCATTTGGTCTTCCTGCTTTTTTTATATGAGCATTGCTAAATTTTTATTTTGCTTGACCAAAATTACAAAGGCCTGATGTGAAGAATTCTAATGGTCTTTGTATAACAGGTGAGGAAAATTGCCAACATTTTGCTTTTATGGAAGGGATTCCAGATATAGCTTCAGGTTTTTGACTACAAGGGCACCTTAAGCAAGGAAATGAGGGGCTGAGCAATCGTCTACGAAGGCAGCTCATATTGTGTTTATTTTCAAAGTGCAGTTTTTTGGAACTGATGTTGTAATGTTGTTTTCTGATATATTGGTTTAATACTTTATTTAAAAAATATATAAGTTTTGTGTATTTTGATTAAACTGACTCTTTAATTCTGATTTGGGACATGCCACATCTGTCACCAGTGCAAAATCTCCACCACTGGACTGCCATTGTATTATTGTTTTTATTTATTAAATTTGTATACCGCCCTTCATCCGAAGATGAACCAGGGTGGTTCACGACAGAAAAATACAAAAGGAGAATACAAACACAAAACAAACAAAAACCAATAGCAAGAAAATGTAATAGCAAGAGGGAAAACATCCAACCTGTATTAGATAAATAGCATTAGTCTAAGCAGAGAGGATTTAGATTTTCAAAGTTGGTGGCATGGTGTATTTTAAATAGTGGCTGGCTGGCCACTTAACCAATTCTATACTGGTGGGTTGGATCTTTGAGGTTCCTTCCAATTCCATGCTTCCTTGTAAAAAGGGAAGAGGGATTGTATCTGCAGAGGCCCTGGGTAGTGAAATGAGTTCCCCATGGATCTAGAAATTGTGTTGAGTTTCTTTCTCAACCTCCCAGTGTCCTATGTGACAACCTAAATTAGGATGGTGCCAAAAATGAAGGGAAAGGGTGCCTGTGACTGGTAAATTCAGATTTCCCTCTAGGTCTAATTAGAGGTAACTGCTATCTATTTGAGAATGCAGGTGAGGGATTAGGAATGCTGCAAGATCTTAAAGCTAGCAAGCGAGGAATATAGGTCAGGGCATTTTAAGAAATAGCTGGGTTGATGGCATTGGGAGGTTTTGAATACCACTGACTACAAATATGCAACAAGGCTTTAGATATTTTCAGAATTTTCAGCGGGTGGTTCCCTGACAGCCTGTGCTTTGGCTCACTTATGTGAATCTAAATGAGGCAGCGAAGCTATAAATACGCCATTTTTCATCCTGAACATCAAAATGGAAGCAAGTACCCACTGAAATCGATGTGTTTAGTCTCAAGATCTAATTTAAGGCTTCCTTGAAGCTCCTGGGTTCGTAACAAGCAAATAACTCGTTGAAATAACTTGTAGTTTAGCTTCTCCTTTAAAAAGGATGTATTTTTAATGTGAACAAGTGCTGAGATAAAGTGGCATACATGTTCTTTCTCTGCCTCCCCCCAACCCTGAGCTTGTAATAACTCTCCCAGCAAGCAGAAATATGCATCTTGTGTGTGATGACATAGACAGCATTTCTGTACTGGGCCAGCTAATATGGGAGCTCACTTTAGCTGGCTTCTTGAATATGTTTTCCCTCCCTCCCTTGTGAGAAATTCACTCTTTTTGTACTGAGACGCTGTTCCATGGCTAACATGGGGCTTACTTTTCAGTGGAATACAAAAAGAAAAAAAAGAAATGCAGGCCAGCCGTTGTCTTCAGAATAACCCACGAATATTTGTCATGTCTACGAGACCTGTCAGTTGGCGTCTGCACCGTGAAACAGCTACCTGATCCCTGGGTCTGCGGAATTGTGGTTTCTGGAACAAAGCCTCATGCTGCTCCAGTTGACTGACAGTTTGGGTGAATTTCTCTCCCTCTTGGAAAACTCCAAGTGTCACAGAACCAGGCTGCTCTCACCACCAAAGGATTATCTCCCCCTGAATTTGCTAATCTCTTCTTGACACAGGAGGGAAGGTTTGTTCAGAGCTCCATAATACGGAGAATTCATGCTTTTGCTACAGAACCTTGGTCTCATTTTGAACATTTTTGCCCAGTCCACGTGAGCCTCCAAATAATATGTGACTGTAGGGCAGCATGAAGCAATCAATATAAATGCTCTGGGCTGACTAAAGCCACAATTTTTAAGTATCAGTGTGCCTTGATTTACTTTTGCTAAAAAAAGAAACAGTTGGAAAGTGAGTTCACTGTCATTTCTGCCGTTCTATACCTTAGTCCATCTAACGAAGGCACAGGAGATTTCTTTCTGGGTTTGCCATATTTATTTTCATTTGTTAGAGTAATTCTAGTTTGTCTTCTAAAAAATTAGATTTCGGCAGAATTGCAAACCGAGACCGACCAAAACCATTCTGCTATGGGTTTAGTCTTAGATCAGGAGTAGAGAACCTAAGACCCGGGGGGCCGGATGCGCCCAATCGCCTTCTCAATCCGGCCCACGGACGGTCCGGGAATCAGGCGTGTTTTTACATGAGTAGAATGTGCCCTTTTATTTAAAATACATCTTGGGTTATTTGTGGGGCATAGGAATTCGTCACCCCCCCCAATATAGTCTGGCCCCCCACAAGGTCTGAGGGACAGTGGACTGGCCCCTGCTGAAAAAGTTTGCTGACCCCTGGTCTTAGATCTTGCCACTTGCCTTTACATTGCAGATGTAAAAGGCCCGTGACTCTGAAATGGCACTTTGTATCTCAGGCGTGGGGGACAAAATTCAACCTGAAGGGCACATTGCCTTTTGGACACCCTAGGGGCCATATGCTAGTCATGGGTGGGGTCAGAGGCAAACGTGGGTGGAGAAATGAATAACAATGTTAGCTTTAGTACACTGGGGTGTGGCCTAGGGAGAGTCTTGAGGACCAGACAGAGCTTTGGAGGTCCACGTTGGCTTCCTACCCCTGTTGTTTTTGTCTTATTTAAATCATTGACAATACAACTTGTGTGGGATGTATCACCACCGAAGCAGTCAAATACAACATTTCCTGTTTCCTAGAGTGGACAGACAAGGGAATGTTGCTCCAGACAGGGAGGACTTCCTGTCATACCTGCTCTAGAGCATCCTCTCCTGTATGTGACCAGGTAGATGGGCGTGACCCTAGCAGACCCTATAAAAGGGCTAGTCATGCAGCCATCTTTCTCTTTGCCTCTCTTTGCCTCTTTCCCTCTCTTCTGGCTCTTAGCAAGCACACATGGCTCATCCTTACTGAGGATGGAGGCCACAAGGTAAAAAGTCTGATGCCTAGCTCAGACTTCTTTTCTCTACAAATGTAACTGTAACCACAAGATAAAGCCTCCCATCAGGATACTACTGTGAACTGAATGTAAGTAAACTTTACCATTACTTTTAAAGAAGACTGTCATGTTATTATTATTTTTAAGAGGGAAATAAAGGGAAATTTACAGGAACTATCCAATCTAGATAAGCCAGACTGGATTGCTCAGCTTAAATGATTCTAACAAATCCATCAACTTGCTTCCAGCAATGTACATGGGAATGTGCTCTGCTACAAGCTCACTAGCGTGAGAGAGGAGAGGTAATATTTAATCAATGTATCCTCTCCTACTTTCCTCAACATTCCCACAACTTGCCCATATAGTTATTGACCTCTATTCCATCATGATCTCCAGAATCCAGTGAGAAAGATCTTCTGCATTGCTTCTACCCCTTTGGTGCTGAAGTAGTTACACGTCTTATTATCATTATTCCTGTTGTCTGGTCTTTGACCGTAATAAAGAGTGGACTGAATTGAGTTGGGGGAGAAAAGTGAGCATGATGTTGCAATGTCAGGTTTTTTTTGTGTGAAACTGCTGCCTGTTTCTTCTATAAGGAGAGCACCGATCACAAACGTGGGACCATCACAGTGTCAACATTTCCAGAAATAGAGAACCATAACTCCCTGATGGTGACTTGTACAGGAATTCCTCATTCAGTGCTATGCGAGCAAGCTATTTTGCCTAGGAGAACTCTGTACTTGCCAA